CCTGGGCGCGGCCCTCCCGCTGCGGCTCTAGGCTGTCCCGCTCTCGGGCCTTCCCCGCGCTCGCCCAGTCTGTACCGCGCCGCGCTCTGCGGCTTCGCTCTCAGGCCTCGGCCTGGTCAGAGCCATTGTCTGGGAGGGAGATCTCGCCTCGAGCTCAGCGTGGGCAGCAAGGCTTGGATAGTCCCGCGCAGTGTCCCCATTTGCCCCCCTCCCCCCGGGTGAGCCCTTCTCTTCTGCGGCTTCACCTTGGGCCACTCCCCTCTTTTCTTCTCGACCCTCGGTCGGTCCCTCAGCTTCCCTTCTGCCCCCCGTGTAGCCCCGTTTCTCCTGCGCCCTTCAGCTCCCTCTCCCTTTTCAGTGTGCTCTCCCTACCGCACCCCACCCCCCAGACTCCTCGGCTCCCCTTACGGGCCCCATCTCAGCTTCAGTTCCCAGCACCACACCCCGTTTCCCTCCCGGTGGATGAACGGGAAGGGAGGAGGGTCTTGAGGTACAGGTAGAGGGAGCGCGGATTCCTGCGGGCGAGGGAGAGAGAACGCGGGAAGGAGGGTGGAGGGGAGGGGCATCCTTACTCCCCAGCTGCGAGCCCCCCTCCCCTCAGCCACCGAGCCATAAATCAGGGCCAAGGCGGTTTGGCCAATGGTGGCGTGCCTCGTAAATCGGCCTGTCAAGCTCAGCCAATGAGAGGCGACGTTAAATCAAGTCCTGTCAGCGCTTGGCCAATGAAAGGCCCTGGGCTGACCATAAATCTGCCTGTAAGAGACAAAAAAAAAAGGGGCGAGCGGGGCTGGGGGGCGAGCTTGGGAGAGAGAAGGCGATAACAGAGGTACACGAGATGAAGACAGCCTACAAGGGAGACGGACAAATGGAGAGAGACAAAGAGGAGCCGTGAGAGATAGCGTCGGAACGTCAGCGATAGCGCTCCGGCTCGGGCAAGAGACTGACAGAGATAAAGAGACAAGGAGAGACACTGACTCACTCATGAGAGTACAGGGCCCCCAAACGCACACTCTTCCCGCAAACACGCGTAAGCAAGGCACTGCGAGGGACCCAGTGGGCCACACACGCACCGCACCGTGCACACCCGTTGGGGAGAGAAGGCCTGCAGAATCTCCTGCTCTTCCTTGGCTTCTTTCCCCTCATCTAGCCCTCACTGAAACTAGGAGAGGGGGCCTGCGAGCCATGAAGAAAGGAGGGGATTGCTTTTCTACCAAGACCTGTCTATGGTCTCAGACTCAGGGGTTTTCTCCTGTGTTGCCTGAGTAATTTTTTTTCCCCCAGAGGATGATACTTGGGAAGTCCTTTCTGAGGTCTAACCTCAATCCTTCTTATTGCTGCTCCATTCTACTTGGCTTTTGAATTGCCTTCAAGGAATATGAAAAGTGAACCTTTTTACAACCCTTCCTAGAGTTGTCAGCTTTCACACTCTTAGAAGGTCTGAGTAGGAAGGACTTTAGGGATCATCTGGTCACTTGATCCTTGCTTTAAAAAGGCAGCTGTCCTGTAGTGGATAGACATGTGGGCTGTTACTGTAGTTAGACTGTGATCTCAAACCATGGTCACGTTCTAACCTTTTGACTTTTGAATAATTACTTAGCCTATTTGCACTTCAACTAAGAAAGATTATAGTAGACCGGGACTAGCAGTTGGCGTAATGGCTACGTCACTGGACTCCCATGTAGTCGACCACGGTTCAAGTCCCAGACCCGGTGGCTTAAACTCACACCAGGCGCGTGTGCATGTGTGCCCAAGATCCCAAGAGGAGAATGGAGAAGGGATTGCAGGCGTGGCCATTCTCCCTGGGGAGTGATTTCTTGCTTTCTTTCTCTCTGTCTCTGCCTTTCTGGTGAGTGCAAAAACCTCTAAAAAAAAAAAAAGATTATAGTAGCCGGGACAGGAATGTGGTGTGGCAATTAAGGGTGCTGGACTTCCGCATGGCTGACTGAGGTTCGAGTCCTGGACCTGGCGACTTGCTTTCTCACTTTCCCTCTCTCTTTCTGTCCCTCTCTGGTCAAATGAAAGAAAGAAAGAAAGAAAGAAAGAAAGGAAGGAAGAAAGGAAGAAAGAAAGAGGAAGGAAGGAAGGAAGGAAGGAAGGAAGGAAGGAAGGAAGGAAGGAAGAAAGAAAAGAAAGATGATAGTAGGGGCCAGCAGGTGGCATGGTGTTTAAAGTGCTGGACTCCCACATGGCTAACCACAGTTCGAGTCCCAGATCTGGAGGCTTGAAAATTACTCTGAGTGTATGTGTGCACATGCCCCAAATCCCAGAAGAATGTAGAAGGGATTGCAGCATGGCCATCTCCACTGGGGGGTGATTTCTCACTTTCCTTCTCTGTCTCACTCTGACACATGCATGTGCCCTATGGTCAAAACCTAAAAAAAAAAAGAGAGAGAGAGAGATAATAAATAGCTCATGATAATTTTGTGAAGATTACTTGACATAATATTTTTATAGGATTTAGAACTGCACTGAGCATGTGGTAAGAGTGCACCCTGCACCCCTCTCCTCTTTGTACTTTGATAAAACCTGAGACCCTTGGGCCAGCAGGTGGCGTGGTGGTTAAAGGCGTTGGATTCCTACATGGCTGACCTTGGTTCAGGTCCCACACCTGGCAGCTTGCTTTCTCGCTTTCCCTTTATCTCTGTCTCTGTCTGTTCAAATTTAAAAAATAGTGATAAGAAATAGAAATTAATAAGTAAATAATTCTTTAAAACAAACAAACAAACAAACAGAACAAAACAAAAGCAAAAAAAACCTGAGACCCAGAGTGGTCCGGAGATCTGCTCAAGTTCACAGAGCTCATTATCAGAGAGCCTTGACCCGAAACCTCTTCTCTGCACTCGAGCGGATGGTCGTGCAGTTCATGTTTCTGGATCCCTGCCTCAGTAGTCCCAACTAAACTTGGGTTAGGCTGCTGTGACTTCTGTGGAAGGAGGTCACCCAGAGTACTTATTCCAAAGGAGGAGGCAGGGTTCCTGGGCCGGGGAGCGTGTTTCATGTGAGGGTTATCTCCCCACCACCAGACTGTGGCTCCCCAGCCCTTGTTTAAATCTCTTCAGACTTCACTTGTTCTCGCAAATCGTGGACTTGGGCTTAGGGAGGGGACAACGTGCAGCTACAGTGTGCATGTCAGCGTGACTCACATTCCATCCCCAGTGCCACCACATTGTCCACCCTGCTCCCCACTACTCAGTCCCCAAGTAAATAATATCCCATGAATGAGAAATGTTTCATCCTTCTTTTCTTCCTAAGCTTTTAGGAAACAGGAGGACACGGATCCATGAGTCTCCACCCCCTGTTACGGGGATCTCTGGACTCCCAGTCCTGCAGGCAACTTCTGTCCTCAGCTGGGCGGCCAGAAAGGAAACACAGAGAACCAGCGTCACCTGGTGGCTGCAGGTGCTTGAAGGCTGTGCATTAGCATGCACTCGGTGACAGGATGTTGGTCACTGGAGGAAGGACTGTAAGTTTTCACCTTGTCTGGGCCCCTGAGCTCGCTTAACCAAAGTCTCTGTTCTTCTGGTTTCACAAGCCAGGATGACAAGAGCAGGGGAAGTGGGGGCCTGGGGCCCCAGTGAATTGCCCATGAGCAGGACCCGGCTAGGGTCGCTGGAACCCTTGTCTCATCTGCCTTTGCCTCAGCGAAGCTCCGGTGCATCCCGTTTGTGCCGGGTAAGGGCAGGAGGCTGTGGCTATCACAGCTGGATCACAAAACTCTATCGACCCAGCTGGAGGGATGAGGGGTCCTAGCTGCAGTACTTAGCAGAGGCCATTTCTGGGATTTTGAACAAGACGGCAGCTGGCTACTCTTCTTAAATCATCTCATGTAAAAAAAAAATAGGTTCTTGCCACAGGGCAGATGCTACACTCACCAGAGAGAGACAGAGACTGAGGGGGAAAGTGAGAAATCACCCGCCCGGGATATGGCCACACCACAGTCCCCTCTCCTCCATTCTCCTCTCAGGATTTTGGGCTTGCACACACGCTCAGTGTGATTTTGAAGTCACTGGGTCTGAGGAGTGAACTGCAGTCAACCACATGGGAGTCCAGCTTCTGTAACCACATACCATGTGTCCCCATTTTTTTTTTTTTTGAAAGAAAAACATTTATTTATTTATTTTAATTTGACCAGAGAGAGAGAGAGAGAGAGAGAGAGAAACCCGCCAGGTCCAGGAATTGAACTGCAGTCAGCTAAGTGGTAGTCCAGTGCCCTTAACCACCATACCACCAGCTTGCCACCACCACCCCCTTGCCTTTTTTAAAGGTTTTGTTTGTTTGTTTGTTTTTGCCATAGGGCACGTGCACTCACCAGAGAGAGACAGAGAAGGGAAAAGTAAGAAATCACCCCTTGAGGAGATGGCCACATTGCAATCCCTTCTCCATTCTCCTCCTGGGATTTCAGGTACATTTGAATATGCCCAGCATGATATTTTTTTTGTTTTAAGAATTATTTAATTTTATTTATTCATTCATTTATTTTAATTTGGCCAGAGAGAGACACAGAGAGTGAGAGAGAGGGAAAGTGAGAAAGCAAGCCACCAGGCCCGGGACTCAAACCATGGTTAGCCATATGGGAGTGTCCAGCACCTTAACCACCATGCCACCTGCTGGTCCCCATGCCCAGTATGATTTTTAAGCCACCAGGTCTGGGATGCAAACCATGGTTGACCGTGTGGTAGTCTGGAACCTTACCCACCATGCCACCTGCTGGCCCCACCATCTCACATGTACAACCTGAAAGCTTTCTGCTGAAAACTATGTCCCAGGTCAGCTGAGTCCTGCACCTGCTCTGACCTAAGTCTCCCCAGACTCTCAGTTATTGGGTTCCAGATCCAGACCAACCTTAGCCTTTTTCCTTCTTCCTCAGAGACCATGCCTGAACATTAAAAGCATAGAATTCCTTTATTCACAGTAATGTTCCTTGGGCAGTCTAGGGCTAAAACATTGATCCAAAGGTTAGAGGGGCTTGGTTTGAGGAATGGGGAGAGGTCTGTAAAAATGCTCACAGGTTTTGTGTGTGTGTTTTTTTTTTTTTTAAAGTTTTTTCACTATAGGGCACGTGCGCTCGCCAGACAGACAGAGAGAAACAGAGAGGCAGAAAGCGAGAAATCACCCCCCAGAGGGGATGGCCACACCGCAATCCCTTCTCCTCCATTCTCCTCTCGGAATCTTGGGCACACACGCACACGCGCCTGGCATGGGTTTTAAGCCACCGGGTCCGAGGAGACGCGAACCGCGGTCGACTACGTGGGAGTCCAGCGACATAGCCATAACGCTAACTGCTGGTTCCCTTGTTTTGTTTTTTTAAATAATTGTTTTATTTAGCTTTCTTTCTTTCTTCTCTTTCTTTCTTTCTTTTTTTCTTTCTTTCTTTCTTTTTCATTATTTTAATTTGACCAGAGAAGGACAGAGAGAGATAGAAGGTGAGAAAGCAAGCCGCCAGGTCCAGGACTCAAACCACAGTCAGCCATGTGAGAGTCCAGTGCCCTTAACCATCATGCCACCAGCTGGCCCTGCCTACAGGTCTTACTTTCACCTATTCTCACATCATCTGGCCACTTAGTTTCTGGAGAAGACAATCCCAGACACTGGTGGCTGAGGACACAGTTTTGTTTGTTTTTTTCAGAAAAAAATTTTTGTTATAGAGTGTGTGTGCTTGCCAGAGAGACAGAAAGGGAGAAATCATCCTCCAGGGGGATGGCAATGCTGTAGTCCCTTCTCCATTCTCCTCTCAGGATTCTGCACATGCACACATATGCGCCCAGTGTGAGTTTTATTTTATTTTTTAAAGAATTGTTGGGAACCAGCAGTTAGCGTAATGGCTATGTCGCTGGACTCCCACGTAGTCGACCGCGGTTCGTGTCCCGGACCCGGTGGCTTAAAACTCACGCCGGGCGCATGTGCGTGCGTGCCCAAGATCTGGAGAGGAGAATGGAGGAGAAGGGATTGCGGCGTGGCCATCCCCCCTGGTGATTTCTCACTTTCTGTCTCTATGTCTCTCTCTGTCTGTCTGGTGAGCGCACGTGCCCTACAGTGAAAATCTCTCAAAAAAAAAGAAAGAATTATTTAAATTTGGGGCCAGCTGGTGGTGTGGTGGTTAAGGGCACTGGACTCCCACATGGCTGACCATGGTTCAAGTCCTGGACCTGGTAGCTTGCTTTCTTACTTTCTCTCTCTTACTCTGTCCTTCTCAGGCCAAATTAAAATAAAAATGAAATAAATAAATAAAGTTAAAATTAAAAATAACCCATCCAACGTGAGTTTTATTTATTTTTTATCTTATTTTTTTTTTAGAATTTTCATTTCAGAGCTTGCAGTATGTGGAGAGCAGCAAAATTGCACAATTGTAACAATTTTCGTCTTTTTTTTTTTGGAGAGATTTTTCGCTCATAGGGCGCATGCGCTCGCCAGACAGAGAGAGACATAAAGACAGAAAGCGAGAAATCACCCCCCAGGGGGGATGGCCACGCCGCAATCCCTTCTCCTCCATTCTCCTCTCGGGATCTTGGGCACGCACGCACATGCACCCAGCGTGAGTTTTAAGCCACCGGGTCCGGGATGCGAACTGCGGTCGACTACGTGGGAGTCCAGCGACATAGCCATTACGCTGCTGGTTCCCAATTTTCGTCTTTTTTTAAAAAGAATTATTTATTTTATTTATTCATTCACTTTATTTTAATTTGACCAGAGAGAGACACAGAGAGAGAGAGAGGGTAAGTGAGAAAGCAAGCCACCAGGTCCAGAACTTGAACCGTGGTTGGCCATGTGGGAGTATCCAATGCCTTAACCACCACGCCACCTGCTGGTCCCCACCAACATGAGTTTTAAACCACTGAGTCCAGGACTCGAACCACTGCTGACTATGTGAGAGTCCAGCGATATAACCATTATGCCACTGAGGACACAGTTCTAACGAAGCCTACGGAAACTCTGGGGCCCTTGTTTTAAGAGGGAGCTGTATGCTTGACGGAACTGGCGGTTCATGGCTGCGTAGAGCACAGGGTTGATACAACCATTGAGCCAGGTGAGGTTGGCAGCAAGCATGTGGACGACCCGGGGAGCCTGGACCTTGGCGTCCAGGATGTTGAGCAGCAAGAAGGGGATGTAGCTCAGGGCAAAGCAGAGGAACACGGCGAAACACATCCGGGTTACCTTCCCAAACTCTGACGGAGAGTCCTGAGCTCTTCGGGCTCTTTTAGTTGGCTGGGTTTTGGGAGATGCTTCTGGGTGACTTTCCTCTGCCATCTGCTTCGCTGCCTTACTATTACTCTGCTCCACCACTTCTGATGAGTCCCCTTCCAAGGTCTGGGTGGTAGCAGCACTGACGGGCTCTGATGAAATCCCCTCACTGGGCCCTCCTGACGCTTGCCTGCTGTCCAGCTCCTGGAAACGACCAGGCATGGCCTCATCTGTCCCGGCCACATGGGTGGAGTGGACACTTGCCTGTTGCAGCTTGTACTTGTCTAGTGCCTTTGCTGCCCGCTTCACCTGGTAGTGGATGAGGCAATAAAAGATGCCAACGCTGCTGAGCCCAAGCACGAAGTAGATGCCCATGAGGATGGTGGTGTAAGGCCGGCCTCGTATGCGGTCAAAGCTGCAGGTGCAGACTACGGGTACCAGGATGTAGACAGGCCAGAGCGGGGCAAAGCTGGCCACACCCACAAGCCAGGTGCCCAGCAGTGCCAGCATCATCCCCTTGGCACTGAAAACTTGGGGAAAGAGCTTAGGGTGGGCAATAAGGAGGTACCGTCCCAGTGCAATAAGGCAGAGGGTAAGGATGGAGACAGAGTTGGATGTAAAAAGGAGGAGCCCAAAAACTCTGCAGAAGGTGGCACCAGTGCGCCAGTGCAGGTGGAGGTAGGTGTCCACAGAGAAGGGCTGGAGCACAGTGCAGTAGAGCAGGTCGGCCAGCGTGAGGTTGGCGATGAGCAGGTTGAAGCGGGTACGCAGTTTGGGCTGGATGGCCAAGGCCAGCAAGGTGAGCACGTTGCCCACGGTGCCTGTGACTGCCACCACCACCCCCCAGATAACGGCGACATAACGATAGCCCAGCACAGACGGATCGTAGCAGGAGAAGTCGGCCTCAGAGGTGTTCCACATGATGAAGGCTGATGAGGCAGGGATGGGGGAGGAAGACGGAGTCAGAACCTGGCCCTTGAGGGTCATTCTCTTGAACATCGCTGGGCCCTGTGACACCTGAACTGCTCTTGGGACTCATCCTAATCCATTATCCTCCTGAACCATTCCCAGGCCCCTTCATCTTAAGATCCCCAACTTTCTCCTTAGGCTTTCTGAGTCCTTTTTCATTCTCAAAGATTATCCCAGATTCTTACCTCAGTATCTCTTAGTCTCTGTCTCAGTGAACCTAGGAGCCTCCAACCTTTCTAATTCTTCCTATCTCTAAAGTCCACCCAGGAGTCCCCTCTCCGTATTCAGGGTGCTGTCAAGTTCCCTCTGCTCCTCTGTTCCTGGGTGGACACAAACGGGCCTCATATTTTTCTGTTCGTTACCACCTGGGAGATGAGAAAACCAAGCCACCACGAAAGTATTAACCTGGGCCTCCTAGCCTTTAATCCCCTCTCCAGAGGAAGAAGTCCAACTCACCCTAAGAGCCGTCCTCTCTGGTGGGCAGTCAGGCTTCAAGCAGGATGTACCTTGCGCTCATGTATCCTGTTATAGCCGACTAAAAGAACAAGAAACTCCCCAGTTACCCAACCTCCACCACTTCCTTCCCTACCTCCAGTCCTACTATTTTTGCTTTGGTTGGTAGAATCAGCTTCTCTATTAAGATTCCCCTGCTACTTACCCCAGAATAGTTTAAAAAAAAATTATTATTTTATTTATTCATTTATGTTTATTTTACCAGAGAATGGACAGAGTGAGAGTGAGAGAGAGGGAGAGGGAAAGGGAGAAAGCAAGCTGCAGGTCCAGGACTCGAACCCCAGTCATATGGGAGTCCAGCACCCTTAATCACCATGCCACCTGCTGGCCACCCCAGAGTAGTCTTATACTTTCTTCTTCCTAAGATCCAAGGTCTGCTTGCTTTCTCTGTTAGTGTGGCAGGGCACTGGTCAGATCATTGCCAAGAATTGTTTGGACATGGAGACAGAGCATGAACACTTCTGGGCCACCTCTCGAGGACTGAAAGATCAGACCAGGTTCTAGGAACAACTCTAGGCAGCCAGGAACTTTGGATTTGTTTGGGTACAACACTGCCTTCTCTCCAGGACTCGGAGAGGTGCAAGTCAGAAGGTTCCCTGTGCCACCCTAGCATATCTGAGAAGCGGAGTTGCATGAAGAAAGGCGGAAAACAAGGCACCCAGCATTCTGGTTTCACTCCCCACAGCCCCAGGCTCCTGTCCAAGCATTCACTCATCGATTCAGCCATTCACGTAACGAGTCTGTACTGAGTGCCTGCTACGCACCAGACTCTGAACTAGACACTGGGCATACAAGGTCTGATACGTGACCTTGTCACAGTCCGTAGTAGGGGAGACATGTAAACATGCAAAAGTTTAGCTGGTTTCCTAAACCAGAGGTCTGCAAGCTTTGGTCTATGGGCCAAATCTGACCTGTTTCCATATGGCCCACAATCCAAGACAGTTTTTTCCATTTTAAAATGGTTACTTTTTTCTTTCTTTCCTTTTCTTTCATTCTTTCTTCCTTTTTTTTTTTTTTGGAGAGGTTTTTGCTATAGGGCAAGTGCTCTTATCAAAAAGACAGAGAGAGACAGAGAGACAGAAAGCAAGAAATCACCCCCCAGGGGGAATGGCCACGCTTCAATCCCTTCTCCATTCTCCTCTCTGCACAAACACATGCCCAGTGTGAGTTTAAGCCACAGGGTCCGGAACTCCAAACGTAGTCGACTACATGGGAGTCCAGCAACATAGCCGTTACACTAACTGCTGGTCCCCTTTTAATCTTTTTTTAAAAAAATATTTATTTATTTATTGAGAGATTTTCGCTATAGGGCGCGTGCACTCGCCAGACAGACAGAGAGACATAGAGACAGACAGAAAGCGAGAAATCACCCCCCAGCGGGGATGGTCACGCTGCAATCCCTTCTCCTCCATTCTCCTCTCTGGATCTTGGGCATGCACGCACACGCGCCTGGCATGAGGTTTAAGCCACCAGGTCTGGGACGTGAACCGGGGTCGACTATGTGGGAGTCCAGCAACATAGCCGTTACACTAACTGCTGGGTCCCCCACATTTTTTTTTTAAGAGAGATTTTTTTGGTTATAGGGCACATGTGCTCACCAGAGTGATAGAAAATAAAAATTCACTCCCCAAAGGGGATGGCCAGGCCACACTGCAATACATTCTCCTCCATTCTCCTCTCTGGATCTTGGGCATGCACGCACACGCGCCTGGCATGAGGTTTAAGCCACCAGGTCTGGGACGTGAACCGGGGTCGACTATGTGGGAGTCCAGCAACATAGCCATTACACTAACTGCTGGGTCCCCCACATTTTTTTTTTAAGAGAGATTTTTTTGGTTATAGGGCACATGTGCTCACCAGAGTGATAGAAAATAAAAATTCACTCCCCAGGGGGATGGCCATGATTCCTTCTCCTTCATTCTCCTCCTGGGATTTTGGGCATGCACACACACGTGTCTGGCATAATTTTTAAGCCTATGGGTCCAGGATTCAAGCCACGGTTAGCCATGTGGGAGTACAGTGCCTTAACCACCAAGCCACCTGCTGGCCTTCTCCACTTCTTAAAAACTTATTTATTTACTTTTACTTATTATTATTTTAAAATCTGTTATAGGGCTTGTGCCCTCACCAAAGAAAAAAAAGAGAGAGAGAAAGAGAGGCAAAGTGACAAAGCAAGCCATCAGATCTGGGACTCGAACCACAGTCGGCTATGTGGGAGTCCACCACCTTAACCACCACACCACCTGCTGCTCCCCGACGCCCTGCTTTTCTTTTAAGAGAGATTTTTGCTATAGGGCATGTGCACTCATTGGAGAGACAGAGAGAGAAAAGGAAAAACCACCGCCTAGGGGAGTGACCACGCTGCAACCCCCTCTCTTTCATTCTTTTGGCATCTGGGCACGCATACATATGTACCGGGCATGAGTTTCAAGCTTCTAGGTCCGTGATGTGAACGTGGTCTGGCCCCATGAGTTTCGTTTCAAACCAGCAGAATTTCTAAAATTATTATTCATGGGGGCCAGAAGGTGGCATGGTGGTTAGGGAGCTCGACTCCCACATGACACACTGTGGCTTGGCCTGGACCCAGCAGCGAAATCAGCAAGTTTGAGGTACCTGTGAGGCACGCTGATATCCCAGCCTCCCTGTTTCCTCTAGCCCCTCTGTCCCCACATGACCCCAGCCCCTGCTTTTCACCACCTACTCTTCTGTAGAGTCACTCCTGCCCTTCATCACGGTCTCTTTTATTCGAGGGTGCGAGTGAGTACCCGAGAGAGACAGAGACAGAGAGAGAGAGCCCCCAGTGGGCCTGGTCATGCAGCAATACTTCTCCCTCCATTCTCTATTTCCTTAGGGTCCTGGGCATGCCGGTGCTAGGCAGGACGCTGACAGGGCTGACATGGCGGGAACTAGATCCCCCAGCCCAGCCCCATGAGATCACATTGTGCCTAATTGCTGTGCCTTGGGACCGGCCCACTCTGCCTGTTTTTTTTCTTTTAAAGCTAGATTGACCTGGAAAAAACAAAAAACAAAAAAACAAACAACCCACCCCCAAAAAACTCATTTTGGGGTTTTATTTCTGAACCCACACTGAGCCCCCATCCCCAACTTCACAGTTGACAGATGCAGAAGGGCCCTCTTCACCCTTCCTTCCTCTTTAACAGTCAGCATTCCATTTCCCTTCTTTCTTCTGCAAGACTGGGAAGTGGGTAGGCAGGGGAAGTGAGCAAAGAAGATGCAATTCAGGAGGGTCCCATGTAGTTCTAGTTTTGGTGTAGACATTTTTTTGGTTAACTTCCTGCCACCTGGGAGGGCGGGGAGGGGGTCACAGGATTACTGGCTGCTCCTGAGAGTGTGCAGTTGAACTGAATTTGGGGCTAACAAGGAGACACCTGCTCCCATGCACCACGCGCTGGGCGGCTCAGTGAGTAGAATGCTCCCCTGCCCCACAAAACACTGCCGGGTGAGAGTATTCTAGTACATCTGTGAACCGTAGTCCCAGTTCCTTAGTCTCGGGTTTGTGAAGCATCAATGAACCTTTAAAGGAATCAAACCTGCTCTCTTTGTAGATAGGGACACGGAGGTACAGGGAGGGCAAGGACTGACCCAAGGTCATTATTTATGTGGGGCCGAGCCGAGCTTAGATCTAGTCCCGGGTTCCACTTTTTCCCGCGCCTTGTGTCTCCGTGGTATGGGTTTCCTACTAGAGGCACAAAAGCCTGGATTCTTTCCTTTGTCTGAGACTTGGGTCTAGACCACTCTTTCTAGAATCGCGAGACACATCACTGAATCGGCTCAGACAGAGGGAAATGCCTTTTCCGTGTCGTTGGCGCCGCCTGGTGGCGATCCGAATTCTCAGCAGTCGGAGGCGCAGTCCTGACCTGGACGCCCAAGGATCCCTCCCACACACTCGCGCGCCCGCCAAGCTCGCACGAGGCGGACCGGAGTGAGGAGCCTTTGCTCACCTTACACTAGCCTCTCGCAACCCGTTTCTCCGGGTCCCTCCTCTGTCTGTGCCCCCACCCCCAACACAGCTACGTCTCCCGAGCACATCGCCAGAACAGCAGGCAGAGTCCGAGTCTGGGGCGGAGGGCAGAACGAATCCAGACTTTATTGTCAGGGAGAGGGCCACCGGGAGGACATGGGTGGGGGCCGGGGTTGCTACATTGTCAAGCAGAAAGAGTTGATGGGGAGGGGAAGGCCAGTGGGGGCCAGTCCTCCTCCCGGGTCGGCGGCTGGAAAGGGCTGACGATACGGAAACCACAGAGGGGGTGTCACGCCCCCGCCCGAGTTGTGCAGTGGAGGTGTCTGGTGGGAGGGGACAGCCATGAGGTCTAGGAGCTGGGATGGGGGAGGCTACAGACTCGGCGAATCCTGCGGAAAGGGGAGGGGCGGGGCGAGGCTTCTATTGCTTTTTGCTCACAGTTTTGCGGAAGGCGAGGCGGGGGTGGGCTCGGACTGGACACCCCATGCCCCCCTCGGTACCCCTTGGGCGATGGGTGCTGGTGAAAAGAATGGAACCCGGACTGGGGAGGAAGAAGGCGAGGGAAGGGTCTATGGAGGCATCTCCTTGGTCCCACCCAAGTGCCAGAGATGCCCCCAGTGCTGCCCCCTGCGACGGGCCCTTCTAGACCAGGGGCTGGGGCGTGGTGCGGGGCGGGCACAGTGAGGTTGCAGGCGGTAAAACCAAAGTGCTTATGAGGGACCCAGGATCCCGCCTGCTCCCCTCCCCCTGTGGAGGACGGGGGTGTTCACGGAAGCGCTTCAGTTTGGGGTAGGGGGCCGGAGTCCTAGAGTCCGCTTATTGCCAAGAAAATCCATTTCTGCCCCCCGGACCCCGACCATGGCTTGTGAACCCCGTTTTGTGCTAGGTCTGGGGGGGAGGGCTGGATGGACATGGCTTTTGGGAGGGGGGGTGTCTCCAAGGGGGCTCGGGGGTGAGACGGCCCCCCCTTTTCTAGG